TCATTAATTAGACAAGGAGGTACATGTAATGATACCTAATGTGCATTTCTTGTAGCTGGTTAGTGATTTTAAAACGGACTGTTTCAGTCTACGGGGCTATTACAAAATAGGTATGAGTAATATGGCAGAATCACAATAATCAATATTCAGTTGTGTCCCTATTTTCCAGGTTTGAAGGCCGTGGATTTTTGGAATTTCCTGACGTTTTGCTGTCATAGTTTCGTACATACTCAGTTAATATCTCCGATGTCTTCAAATCCGGAAAATAGTGGCACTGAAAACCTCGGCCGAGAAAGCCTTAACCATTTTGTTAATATACAGTTGGTTCAACGAAAAAATATACATTTGTCATCAACAAAATACGGAATGAAACACATACTTTCATATAGCATCCTTTTCTTCTGAAAAAAAAGACAAAGCAGTTGGATCAAAGAAAACTTCAGTTTGGCAGATCTAAAAGATATTTCTTTACTATTCAAACGTGAGTCGTCGTTAATTTCTCAGATTTTGAAATCAACTGTTGAAGTAGTATTTATTTGACAGTTCACATCGTTTGCATGTTGATTATTGGAAAGTTTTCAATGAATTATCAAATCATTTGAATTGCTAAATATGGGAACTGAAATATGAATCAGATTGGGTTGCCGCACTATTTACCCAACGGCAACCTGACAGACATCTTTCTAAGGAAATATGTGCCAGAATGTCGCGAAACTGGATTAATTCGAAATATGTTTTCTGTTAAAAAAAATAATGTGAATTTTAATTTTTCTCAAAAATATTGATGCATTCAATTTCCGTTTTGTATCCTTCAAAGTAGTTCCTCTCAGATATAAAACACTTGTGTCGGCGTTTTTTCCAATCGTCAAAGCAGTTCTGATATCCACTTTTTGGTGTGTCCTTGAGCTATTTCAGTGATTTGGTTTCTTTCTCCTCGATCAGCGCAAAACGCCGCCCTTTCATGGGTCTCTTCTATATTGGCAATAAAAAAGTCACAGAGGACCAAATCTGATGAATACAGTGGTTGAAGCACGACTATATTGTTTTTGACCAGAAACTGATAGGTCAGCAGGTACATTATCGTGATGCCAAAGCCATGAATTGTTTTCTACCGGATGTTTTCGTGGCATCATTTCTAGCAATCGGCGCATAACAATAAGATAATAATTTTTATTGACCGTACGACCATGTGGCAAGAACTCCTGATTCACTACGCCACGGTAATCGCGAAAAACATAAAGCAATACATTCAAAATTGATCGAATATGATGTATGTTTTTGGTTTTGGCTCTACTGGGCTCTTCCATTGGGATAACTGGACTTTGGTTCCGACGTCATAACCATATACATATGATTTGTCACCAGTTATGAGCCTTTCTAACAAATCTGGATCACCGTTGACGTCATTCAATAATTCGTAAGCAATGCTCATGCGACGGTTTTTTCGTTCAAAATTCAGTAATTTAGAAACGAACTTCGCTGCTACACGCTTCACGAAATGTGTCACTTCAACTCACTCAAAGATCTGCGAGGACGAATCAATATATGTTATGTAATGACACCGCAAGAGCTCCAAAGTAAAAGATATTCGTTTGAAAAAAACCTTTATTATTGTACGGAGGTTAACGATCAATATTTTTATCACTCACTCCATTGATAGAGTAAGTTTTGGGAAAAATCTATTCCATTTTTGCATTCTTGATGCTTATTGCCTATTGATGGAACTTCTCACCTTCGTATCTCTTAATCGAGTGGACATATTTCCAAAAGCAAAACAGCTTTGAACCTTCCACTCAACCTACTACCTGGTTATTGACTGATAGTTTTACCTGAGTTTGGGTATGGACGTGTAATAACCTAAAACTAACCAATTTCTACATTACCATAATAAAATCCAGCTTTTGCTGAAAATTACTTTCTGATAGTATAAATTGAAAAAAAAATTCAGATAAACAAATATAACAACCGATATAAATTCAGCGTAATCAGAAATAATTATGTTTTTAATGATATTTACTAATTGATATGTATTTTGTACATTGAATTGCGGTTTGATATTAGTGGAGCCCTCACAAATTGCACTATAAGTCTAATTACAGAACTAGTTTTGGGTAATTCAATGAGAGAATAGAGTTTGGATTGTTGTGAGTTCATTATCACCTGCGTTCACGACTTCCAATCATAATCAGCTCCATTGACAACACCCAAGTTTTTCCCATTTCTTACAACTACAACTGGAGGTATGACTTCTTCAACTATATAAGGTCCGCAGAAATTCGGTGCAAGCATTGCGTTGTAACATCGGATAACAGAAAACGGGTGCGCTCTCTGCATCCGCTTTACCACATTTGTCCAGGTCTCATTTTGATAATAAAGGTTTGAAGGTCCTCCTCCTTCTTCAATTTGTACATCCAGGACTATCACAGGACAATTTTCTTGCAGGTTTTTCATTTTGACTTCACACTTGTCACACCCAATGTCACTCGACAGTGACAACAGCTTCAGTGTGCTGAGCTGGACACGTGAGAGACTATCGTTTCCTGGTATGTCAAGCCTTTTACTGAAATAACATTAGGAGTGTGTAGCAAGCTCCATCGGTGGCTGATACTGGTTCGATATCCCTAGCCACCTTGAACGTAGATAGCGTATTATAAACTGATCAACAATATTAAGGTATTGGGCTAAATGCTACATTACACTAGTCAACAAAATTGTTTAGATATATAATGGAATCGGCCGATACTTGGTGAAAATC